AAAGGGCTTTCTATTCTCTATACTTTCCCGCTTCGTTTTTGAAAATCGGTCGAGTCATTGAGAAAATATGACGGATTGAAATTTGAAAACTTTATTTAAACATTTATCAGAGTAAATGATATGGATAAATTCCTTCGACCAATTGGCTGTTTTTTCTTATTATTTCTAGATGTTTACGCATTTTTTCACTTGCCACAAGGTTGAACGATCAGGTATGATAGTTGCTAGATAGCCGTTCTGTGACTTATGCGTTGAAGTTCTTCTCAATATCGTTAAACTTTTTAACAATTGTTAACTCACTTGCAGAAAAAGTGGAAATAATCGAACTTTATTTTAAAAATAATGAATGTGGCAATAGGGTTGCGCAGATATTCAATGAACGCCATCCTGACAAACACCCTTATGGCAAAATTGTTCGCGAGTTAGTAGCAAAATTTCGCGAAACTGGTTCCGTTATGAATAAAAAGAGGCAGAAGGAAAATCCTGTAGTAAATGAAGCTATGGAGATATTCATATTGGGCCAAGTTGCTATGCATAGTACGCTGAGTACAAGGAAATTAGCCAGTGAGACCGGCGTGAGTCGTACAAGTGTCCAAAGTATATTAAAAAAACACAAGTTACACCCGTACAAAATTCAGTTGGTACAAGAACTCAACGAAGACGATTTTGATCGTCGCTTGCAATTTGGTGAAACTATTAGTGAACGAGTGGCGAATGATAATAATTTCCTATTTAATGTTTGTTTTTCGGACGGGTGTACTTTCTTTTTGAACGGTGTAGTTAATCGGCACAACTGTCGGTACTGGGCTGAGGACAACCCCAGGGTTTTTGGTTTGGTTTGGTGTCGAGTTGGTCACGAGTCGGTGCACACACAAAACCCTCAGAAATTGAACGTGTGCGCTGGTATTTTTGGAAATTCTATTGTGGGTCAGTTAAACGATATTGAAAAGAACTTCAACGCACAAGTCACAGAACAGCTATCTAGCAACTGCCGCACCTGATCGTTCAACCTTGTGGCAAGTGAAAAAATGCGTAAACATCTAGAAATAATAAGAAAAAACCTCAAATTAGTGGAAGGAATTTATCCGTATCATTTACTCTGATAAATGTTTAAATAAACTTTTTAAATTTCAATCCTTCATATTTTCTCAATGACTCGATCGATTTTCAAAAACAAGGCGGGAAATATAGAGAATAGAAAGCTCTTTTCATTTCGGCGCCACTTGACCCCCCTTCCCATTTGAAAAAAGTTGGGGGATGACACCCCCGCTTAGAGGGTTGAAGATTTTGTAATAATTTTTGGGGCAAAAGTTGTCCCACTCACAAACAAAATTGACGTGTTTTTGGATTTTTTAGAAAAAAAAATACCCTGGCCGTTATGCCTTGCCGAACGTTTTCGATGGGCCACCCTGTAGATGTAGATAATTATACTACAAAACGTTGTTTTATTAGTCACTGTGTTATTAATATTTGTATTATTAATTGGCTATGTTCTGTTTTTTCTATCTATTGACATTTAAAAAATTATAATTGGGTTAGTTAAAAATGTAATTATTCTAACAAATCATCACTTTATATTACAGAGTGTCAACCTGTCATTCAAATTACGTTTAATTTTTAAACATAACGTAGGTTCCAAATTTTACAGGAGAAATAGAAAATTAGAGAGTCTTATATTAAAAATATTGTGATAAAATTGAACATTATTTTTTATGTGTGTATGGTAGCCAGCAAGGTTAACATTCTGGTCAGTAATAACCAATATCAGAATCTACTCTTAGTCTAAATTAATCATCTTTCATCTAAATAATAAGAGTTATTTTTTAATTGAAAAGGCATACACAGGTACATTTATGATGACTAAGTGGATCGCGCTCTTGACAATTTCTTAGATGATTTGTGTACTATATTTAAAACTGTTTAAAAAAAGGCAAAGCATCTTAAGATGACCAAGGCGGTTCAAAGGTTTAATCTAGGATAAGTTAGACCCTTAAGAGTCTATTACGCTGTACTGTTCGGGTCGCTCTCAGGGGACGGCTAAAGGGTGTGTGGCCGAAGGAAATATATATTATATTTCAGAAATCTGCCTAAGGCTTAGCCCGATCCTGTCGTGTTAAGCCACATCCAAAATTCCAAACACACGTGCTTTAATTAAGTCTTGATTAAGGTTTGCAGCGCTCAGTAGCGTGTCGTGGGTAAAAGGGCGGAGGGGGCGAAGACCTTAAGGGGTGCAATGATCAATAAAGGATCAAATAAATAACAAACTTTTTTTAAATAATAAGACTACATGAAAACTTTTATTTATTTTTATTATAAATTTGTTTATTAAAAAAGTTATATCAAAGATGCAAGCGTCTTGTTTTAACCAATTTAAAAGAATCAATTATTTCGTCTATATTTAGATACTGGGCTGTATCTGCTTCAATACTGAGAAGTTATAAATAATTGGTCCTATCTTGTGTGCTAGTGCACCTCTAATAATTCTTCCTAATCTACTGAAAGATCATTCTGCACCAGCACTGTTGGTGGCTATAGTGTAAAAAAATCCTCAGTAATGCACATAAAGATGGAAATGAAGACTCTAGGTCATTGGAAATTAAACACGATAAATATTCGTCAGGTGCAAGTTTGTTGTCATCAGCATTAATTTCTTTTAATAAACTGCAAAAATGTTTATATTGCTCAACTAAAGAAGGTTTAACATTCGCTTGGTACAATATCTGTAGATCCATAAGACATTTTAAATTGTCATCATTGACGTCCATGACGTCCAAACCAAACCAATAAACAATTGAATTTTTGGCATATATTAAGGAAGTCTTCAAACCGATTTTCTAGAGTACCAGTTAAAATGTCTAAAGTACCATAAAACACTGATATCTTGAAATTATCTTCAGAATTTTGATGTCGGTAATCATTCTGGATTTCATTATGAATTTTTTTATTCTTCTTTGTCTTTTTGTGGACAATGATGTTGACGTATTACATTTATTTGCCAAAATAGTAGCTTGTTTTTTAAAATTTTCAAAATATTTTTCACTTCTTAATGATTTGAGATCTTTAGTTACCGCGGTAATCATATGAGCAGCTATACATAAGTTAATATTAACCTTTTGCAAGTGATTGGACAATATATTAATTTTATTCAGCACTTCATTATAATAGATAATATTTCGGTCGGTGATTCCCCGAATTTATTTCCATCGCGACTGCGTTTGTCTTCTTCTTTGACGGCGTCGGCGCAACGTTATGTCTAGCCATTGTATTTTTATTTATAGACAATGTAATCTGTATGTATCAAAGTATATGCCTTCATCAGAGATTTAAATTATTAAATATAAGTAAACATTAAAAAACAAAAATAAAATGTAAGAAATATATACGTCATTTTTTTATCTTGAAGAGCTAAGGGCACGGTAGAGCAGCGTTTGTTTTTGCGTTAAATTTAGTTTTTCTATTCTTTTTTTTTTCAAAGGGCGCCAAAGGCGCTAAGTTCATAGGGGCGGAGGGGGCATTCGCCCCCCCTGGCCCCCTATACGACACGCCACTGGCAGCGCTTCAGCATTTGCCGTAAAATAGCGAGCAATTTGTTACAAAACCATATAAATTATATATTACTCTAATCACAAAACTTCAATCTAGTTTCGTATTGTAACGGAATTTTAAATTATGTCTTTAATTTCGAGAAAATTTAATCCATACATAAGGAATATTTTGTTGATGTTTGACCATCAAAATCTTAAAAATAAAGAAACTGTCTAAAAATGTGCTACTATACGAATATAGTATGATCCTTTATCTTCTATTTCCTTCTTCATTTGTGTAAAAATACCTAGCCAGTTTTACATAAAAAGTTAATTGCCGAACGCTTATTTTGCTAGTGTTTTCGGACTAGTGAAATAGACTCTTAAACCTACGCACCTGAGTTAGATTTTGAGTTTTCTCTCCAGTAGCGGAACGGTCAAAAAACTAAATGAGCAACAGTCATAGTATTTTAATTAAGTAATAGTATTAATATTAATACTATAAACCCTATCGTAAACTAGCTCATGTCGAAAACCGCCATAATCTTGTCAGGCAATACAGCGATTCGACTAAATATCCCGAATTGAGTGACAGGAACACTACAAATATGTTCAAGTCCTCCGGTGTAGTATACTGCACAACAAGAAATGCACCATATATAATAGGAAATGCAAAACTAAAGGAAAGATCAGTCAATGGCGGCTAATACTGGGGAACAATGCACACCCCGACCCCCTTGTATCAACTCACAATATTTCTCTGCACGCAAGTGTAAGGTTCGCTAAAGGTAGGTTAACTATTCTGCAGCCTCACTTTCCGCCTTTTTTTTGGTCGCTGCTTTTTGTCCTCGCTACTATCCCGGAATTTTCGAAATTTTCCCTAATTTCGCTATAACAATCTGGCAACCCTATCGCTCATAAGCGGGAAACTCAATAAAACACATAAAAATGTGACACATTCTGCAGTAACATCCAGAGAGACTACACTACGGTGGATATATTCAAAAGGAGTCTTCAAGATTTTTCTTTATCAGTGAGTTAAGTGAAAAAAAAATGAATTGGGAACTTATTGAAAAAATGAATTGGAGGCAAAAAATGGGCATATTTAAAACCAGAAATCAAGCACATCAACATACAATCCAAACACTCCTATGCGATCTCTTTACCATCCTCTGGTCCAGAGGATTCTGACCACGCTTCCATCCGCGGTCCACGCGAAAAAACTGGCCAAAAATCACCATTAAACCGACCCAAACTGACCCCAAAAAATCTTCTATTCCCTTCCAACATCCACGGATCCGAGCGAGATAAATCTACTCTCCGTATCACCTGTTCTCATGAAAATATTGGCACAGGCCCGGCATTCACGCCGGGCCCATGCCGCTATCGACCGCCGCGAAATTTTCGACACGAACGGGACACGCCATTGGCCGAGAACTATCGCGCCACCGATGGCCATAAAGTGGCGCGTCGGACGATTCAATCGGCAGTCGCGAATCGCGCCACTGGATTAATAGACGCATTTTGTAGAGGCTGTATTAGTGTTTGTTGTGCTGAAGAAAACGGAAAAAATTGAGGATTTAGTGGCGCGGTGAAAGAAACGACCGGTAAATCGCCGATTTTTCGAACGAAAATCTCGTCTTTTGGCTGTGATAGATTTAACCCGAGCTTGGATATTATTCATTCTTGCTGTGATCAAAACGGATTATATTATTTGCTGGATTTTTTTTCATTAAACGGTAAGGAGTATTTTAAGATTATTTTTTAAAATATAATATATTCAAAAAAATTGTTATATTCTGCTAAAATTAATTTGGCAGTAAAATTATTATATCTATTTAAATTTCGCTGTAAGCATAACGCACTTTTTCATTTATATCTTATTCAGAAAAATTCCAATAAACATTTTTCTTTTAAAATACCTTATTACATTATATTAATAATATATCTACTTGTAAATCCTGTATAAAAAAAGATATGTTATGGTTTGGATCAAATAAATACACAAATATTAGCTTTGTCAATTCATAACAAACGCACAATATAGCAGTGTTTATTTGGGTGCTAGAATATGTGCGAAAAAAAATCATCAATCAAACATTTCTGTTTTAAAACCACCAGTATAATCGAAATTATTTATAGGCAGATCAAAATGAAAATCGATATTTCGATATTGTTAATCAATACAATAATTTAAAATTGAAGTGAAAAAAACAGGCGGTAAAACATCAATTTTCTGATTCTTCGCTGTTTTTTCGAACAAACATCTCGTCATTTGGCTGTTATAGATTAGGATTAGGACAAAAAGGATTATATATTTGCTGGCTTTTTTTGATTAATCGGTAAGAAGTAAAAGACATTATTTTAAATTTTTTTTTTCACACGTCCAAAAGTATTAATTTTTGCGACGTGATTGACTATAATATAAAAAAAGTCATTTTAACGCCTAGGCATAAAAGTAAAGCACTTTTACGCCTAAGCATAAAAGTAAAAAAATATATTATTAAACTCACATAAAGTGTCAAATTCAGCGAGCGTAACCATAGTTTCTCGTTTCTCGATATATAATTACATACAATGTATGGCTTTTAAATCTTTTTATATTATTTGGAACGTTTGAAATTGTCTAAAAAATTATTTGTGGCTTTTGAAAAAAACACATGTTCTATTAGAAGTGAAAAAGATTTGTGCCTAGGCTCGCCTAGTCTGGCAAAAGTCCTAGGCCTTTTGCGCCTAAGGCTAAGTCAAACGTACAGCCTAGACACCAAAAAGTGTCTTTTTTACTCCTAATAAAACAATATACTATTATTTAAACAAAAATGTTATGTTCTGCTAAAATTAATTTGGTAATACAGTTGTTCTATCTAATTGGACAGTAAGCATAACGCACTTTTTCCACTTATTAATTTGATTCAAAACATTTTTCTTTTAAAATACATTAAATTACGTTATATTTATATTAGTTACATATATATCTGCTTGTAAATATTAGCATGGTCAATTCCAAACAAAGACGCACAATATAGGATTATGTAATGTGTACATTTTTACGTTTGGGTGCTAGAATATGCTCGAAAAATATTTAAAGAAACATTGGTGTTTTAAAAATATACAGTAAATAAATATAGTGTTTTAATACCACCATATAATCGAAATTAAATAAAATGGATAAATATTCTTAATCAATACTGATGTCTTTATTAAGCTACATAATACAAAAAAACATTAAATTTAATTAGAAAAATGTATGTATTTTTAAATGTCAACAATTTAAAATTCTCATGTCAGCTTGGATAACAAACTATTGCAAATAATATCGTTGTATATGTTAAGAATATACAATAATGTGTATCTCTATCTCTATAGATATTAGATATCAAATATCTATCTAATAATATCATCAAAATCAACAAAATATTAATAGTTTTTCTTCGATTTTTTTTACTTTAATAATTCAGTAAATAGAGGGTGTTCCTCAATGACATGCTAATATTTACGGAGGTTTGGACCTATTCTAAGAAAAAAACTTCATATAAATATAATGTCCTAAACATTTTAACTTTTTAGATACAGGGTGGTAAAGTTTTCTATTTTTTTTCCAAATATCTCTGATGGTAAATTTGATACACGTCTTACATGCATCAAAATGCTTATTTTGATATACAAAAAAAATGTTTCATTTCTTAATTTCCTGAAATGATTTCCACACAACAGTCACCGCATCATATTTTCAGTGATTTGACCCCGAAAAAAACTGTCTTTAATTTTTTAAGCGAAAACTATGCGCCGGCGAAAAAAATTAAGAGACAAAAAATGTATAGAAATAAATGGAGATTTTGAAAATAATTGTTATTGTAAGAGAAGTCAGTGGTGTACCACTTTTTTCTCCAAAAATATTCAATGTAAAACCCGTATGGACGGCACTGGTTGAAATAAATAAAATTCTTTATACACTAAAAAATGTATTTTGATGCATAGAATACGTGTATCAAGTTTCATAAAGATATCTGTAATAAAATCAGAGTTATTATAAAAAAAGTATCACAAGTTGCCTTGCTGGGGCTAGACACTTCTGAAGTTTTTCTCTTAGAATAGGTCCAAGAATCACGCCCTTAAATATTAGCATGTTAAAGGAACATCCTGTATATTATCGATTGTTTCACTCAACGATATTATAATATTTACAAGATGGATGGGTGCATATTCTTGTAAGATGTATGGCATCTAATATGTTTTTGTTCATTGTCAAGGGCATTTTATTGTATTATGATGATTACTGCTGCATTTGAAAGAAGCCCTACATACGAGTATATGTAGTAGGTATATTACAATATTTTGCTTTCGAAGTAAATGGGTTTAAATTTCTTTATTGTCCTTATTATGTGCAGTCACGCAAAATTACATGTTAGAATACTCATTTTAAAATTGTTTTTTTTGTTCGAAAAATACTTGAAGTTCTTAAATTATATATATTATATCTTATATTATTTAGCTTAAATCATAACAACTTTAATATATATATAATAATTTTAATATGATTTTATTTGGAAAAAGTCTGTTGGGAAAAGTCACCAAGAAATCTAAAATATTCAAAAGTTTCAAATATTCAAGAACGGGTACGTCTCAAAAGTGGCTCACCCATAGACTTAAAATAAAATATAGACAAATATATACACTATTTACATCTCAACGCGGACAAACAACCTTTTTTGTACACATGTTTACTTCTGGGTACAGTCGACCGAGCCTTCCTCATCCAGCCTATGTTGTCACGTCTTTAATATTATCAATATTTTTTTTCTTGTTATAAACATATATTCAGATATTAATACTACAGTTTAATAAAGTAGGTTTTAATATTCCATAGATGTATTAAATAGTCCTTATACTACTAAATTATAAGTCGGATACTGTTTAATAAGGATAAGTTCTTTACAATATGACAACACCGATTAGAGGCGAGGGAGCCTATTCATTCATTTACTACCTTGTAGTACGTGTCGCACGTGTGCGGTAAAGCTTTGTTGCCGCTATCTCCCCGGCTGTATTAACGCATTTTCTTAGCTTGTAGTCCTTAAGTGTTTATTTTATTGACTTTTTCTGTTCAAAAACTATAAAATATGGTTCGCCAGTGCCAAATTTGCAAGAAATTTGACTTAAATAATCCATTTAAGTCTTGAAACGACTTTTGACCGGTAGGCAACTCTCAATTTACCCATTGGCAGTCAGAGGCGTTGTGGTAGAAAGGCGCTTATTTAGATAATATTTTAGTAAAATGTAAAATCTGATTTTTTTCTTTTACATTACATTATTTACTTACTTACATTGTAACAAAATCATAATTATAACCCTGTTAATAATTAATAATGTTTTTATTAAAAATATATTCCGGTTTATTCTAAAATTATCTTCAGAATTTAAAATAACATACAAGAATTTTAAAATGATATCACATTATGAAACAATAATTTTTAATATACCGGGTCGTCTCAAAAGTGGCTCAACCCTATAACTTTTTTTATTTTTTCAGATAAAAAAACAGATTTGTATGTTAGTAGGTATATGACATAAATTAGGATTTATTGACGTATTCAATTGTTTTTGGTCTCTTCCTGTTTCACCGAAATGATTACATCTTTTGATTTTTAAAGGCACCCTCGGTATATTGCTACTTTATTCGATAAAAAATGACACTCTGAATAGAATGACATATCATATGTCAACTTTTGACATTGTCGCTTAAAAACATATCCTATTTTAAATTTCAATCCAGTTTTTTTCAATCCACTAAGTTTTAATCAAGGAGCCTTGGAAAAATAGTTTTGATCGTCTAATAGGTTTCGTGTCTTGTCTAGGCTGGTTAAAAGATGTGCAAATCGTATTTTTAATCATACATATGTCAATTTTTTCAAATGGAACAAGGGTGACTCATTAGCATATTTGGAAAAAGCATTTTTTTATGAATATAATGATACCACACACTTGGTATTTCGAGTCAAATTGTCGCTATGAACCGCGTGTTACAATTACAATTAAACCATATGCGAAAATGTCAAAAGTTGACATATGATATGTCATTCTATTCAGAGTGTCATTTTCTGTCGAATAAAGTAGAAATATACCGAGGGTGCCGTTTAAAAATTAAAAGTTATAGTCATTTCCGGTGAAACAGGAAGTGACCAAAAACAATTGAATGCGTCAATCAATCCTAATTTATTTCATATACTAACATACTAAATCTTATTTTTTATTTGAAAATATAAAAAAATTATGGGGGATGAGCCACTTTTGAGGCGCACCCGGTATAATAAAGACAGTACCGAGTTAAATAAATGTAGTTTTTATTTTATCCACTTCCTATCACCTTCCTTGCTTTAATGGAACAGATTTATGTTTTCTCTAATTTACATAATAAGACATCACTTAACCAGAAAAAAAAATACAACAATCATATTTTTTTTTCTCTCCCTGTCGCCGATTCTATTATATCTGTGGAATAGATCCTGTTTTGATTAATATTAGGGGTTGTAAATGTTTGACTAAAATTAATAATTTATTATTAATTTCAAAAATTACCTAATTTTGATTATAAAATTTCTTCTATAACGTGTATTTTATTATTTTTATCCTTTTTGGACTCTAGATTGTTTTTTCTAAACATTTATTTAAAAAACTTGTCCTAAATCTTAATAAAATATAAAAAAGTTAAATACGATATATTTTTAATTTAATTATAGCT